ATTATTTCAATAAATCCACACTTGGATGAAAAGCTATCAGGTAACTGGAAGCATAATAGATTCACTACCCAATGTACACAGCATGTAAATAGCACTATCTGCAAGAATTCAGTTTGACTCAAGTTTAGTGACTTGAAGGCCACTTGCTTTTGATGGGCAAGCTGGTTAATAATTAAATAAATGAAGATAATCTATTCAGGATGGATTTAAACTACTACCATAAAGAATCTTAAGCACACTGCTGACATTTTGTTGTGCTGTAAAACACAGTCTGCTCTATGTGATCATGAAATGTTAAGGAAATCAGTGCTATACTCAAGCTAAAGAATTAATGTTGTACTTCGCATCTGAAAGATAACTACTGCACTGAATGGACTATATCCACAGAGTTTTAGATTTTTTAACTTCCTAAACAATCTTAAATTACACATCAACTTGAGGGACTGAACTAATGATTCCAATCCTGCTTTCCTTATACAAAAGATAGTATCCACTTTGGGAGGTGGAAGTGAGAGTACTGTGTGAAGCCAATAGTTCAAGACCACTCTGCACAACATAGTGAGAATTCACCTCTACAAAATATTTTTTAAAAATTAGCTTGATGTGCTGGCAGATCACAGCCCTAGCTACTCGGGAAGGTGAGACTGAGCTAGGAGGATTCCCTGAACCCAAGATTACAATGAGCTCTGATCGTGTCACTGCACTCCAGCCTGGGAAATACAGCAAGACCCCAACTCTAATAAAAATAACAAATAAATAAGACAGTGTCCCTAAACTATCATTTATAGTGCCCAAGTTCCTATTTTTTCCCAAAAATGATAGCCAACTACCCTAATCCTTCGATGCTCTCCAAACTGTTAACCCTACTGATGGATGACAGGGCTATCTAAGACTTCTTGAAGGACACTGGTTTAGTCTCAGAATAAAGCAAAGGTAAATGGGACCACCAGTGAGTTTAAATCTTAACCTAGTGAGGATGGTCAACAGACCATTCTCATATGACCGTTTCATTGCCTGCAAGGGGGGTGTGCTAGTATACAAAGGAGAAAGAGTCTTAGACAATGACCAAAAAAAGACACGCCATACTATTTACCACAGATGGAATCTGATGGAAAGGGAGGGAGAAAAGAAAGAAAAGAAGAGATATATAATATACTGAAAGTGACTCATTCAGAAAGTTCTTTTTGAGCAGGACAATTAGGTGTGTGGAGACAAAAGGAAAGGTTTAGGCCATGGAAGAACCGAGAGTGACCCTGAAAACCCACACACACATTTCATAGGTTTCCAAAACTCTTCACTTTCTCAGAAAAATCTTCTAGTCTGAAAGAGCTTCTAGTAATGCTAAACTTCTTAAAAATATCTTATGGAAGTCAACCTTAAATCTAGGCAGATCCTACTGCGTCATGCTTCTTTCAAGAAGCCATCAGATTTTCTCCTTGTGATATTTAACACAATGCACCACAGTACTTTTTAAAAACTGAACAAGATTATATAAATTTGTGTTCCCTTGTTCTTCTGTAATATCCTTAAATTTAACATACAACACACAATTCCCAAGATTAAAAATAATCTGTCCAGGCATGGTGGCTCATGCCTGCAATCTCAGCACTTTGGGAGGTTGAGGCAAGAGAATTGCTTCAGCCTAGAAGTTTGAGCCAGCAAGACCACATCTCTACAAAAACAAAAAAATTAGCTGGGTGTTGTAGCATATTCCTGTACTTCCGACTACTTTGGAGACTGAAACAGAAGGATCACTTGAGCCCAGAAGGTAGAGGCTGCAGTGAGCCGTGATTGTGCCACTGCCATCCAGCCTGGGCAACAGAGTGAGACTTCAACTCAAAAAAACAAAAATCAATCTGACAACATATAATCCCATCCCATCATCTTAGGCTGCATTTAAAAGATGATTTTTTCCCCTCTCAATAACAGGCATTTTAGTTGCAATCTTCTTGAGCAAAGTTAGCTTAGAAGTTTGATTCATTTAGGTGAACCACCAGAAATCAGAGTCATCACCCTGAGTGACCTGGAAGAAACCAGTTAAATGTGCCAGTTCTCACCCTGAAATAACTATCTCTATACAGTAAGCCAGAGTAGTAAGTCTCTATTCTAATTTTATTGTCTTAGCCCTCAGCTTCAAACCAACAAACCAACAAACCACTTCACCAGAGGGTCTACACACTCAGAGGCCCTTCTAGAGTCAAGAGCCAAGAGCCTCCAAAAATGTGCTACCATTCCTCTTGGACCACCTCCCCAGCAAAAACAACAGTGACTTTGGCCATCATGACTTGGACCAAGCCAGAGCCAGAGTGATCAAAGAAGTTGATGTGAGGAAACCAGTTGTCAAAACACAACCACCAGTCTCTGGGTAGTACTATGTATTTACAAAACAGCTGAACAGCCATATCACTCCTTCTAAAGAAGACTTTCTCCAGGTGGCAAGGGAGACATGAGTGTCAGCCCATCCACCGAAGAATGACCCCAGGTTTTGGGGAGTGAAGCGGCAGATCAAGCATCACACATCTTTAAGTGAAAGATTTAAACAAAAATTTGTTGTGCCTCTTTCCATAATATAACATTGAAGTAGAGTGTTTACCCTGGGGCTGAGGGATTCAGAGAGGTCATCCAAAGAAGTACCCTGTGAGAGGAAGCACAATTTTAACATGAACATTGGCTGGGTCTGTGCACTGAGGGCCTCAAAAGATCTGCCTCCTGCCTCCTCGCCAGCCTTGTCTCCTTCCTTGCCCTGCAACCACAACAAACGTTCCCTGCCGCTGTCATCCAGAACAGAGTGGCATCCCAAAGGAGCTAGGTCCTCTCAGCATTTGCACCTCTATGAATGCAATTTCCTCTGCCTGAAGTACTCCCCACCCACTTCTATTAGCCTGCTTTCATTTGACCTTTATACTCAGCTCAAATGACACCTCTCTCAGGAGGTGACCTTCTTGGTGCTCCCGGAGCACTTCTGATTACCTTACATCATTACACTGTCCTGGCTGATCTTCTCCTCTGCCCCCTTCCCTAGACACTCAGTACTGGGGAGGGAGGTGAGGGAGAATGGGGGAAGGATGGGGAGTGCAGCTGATGTGACTTGGCTTCTGCTACTGCTGCTCTGTAAATGCCTATTCCTGGACTGACTGAGCAAACGTGCCGATGCACAGGAGGGCTAAGCCAGCCTCCTGGGCTGGGAACTTCTGACAACGCATTGGACACCACAGCTCACCACATTCACCTGAGCTCCTCTCCCAGTACAGTTCCCCCGGGAGAAGGCCTGAGAACACCACCAAACTCAAACACTGTCAGGGAACAATGATCCAGGTGAGGTGCTCATGGGTCTGTCTTGTTTTGTTTCATTTAACTGGAAAACCCTTGGTTCCTTGTACATTCAGAGTCATTTTACATGGTTAACATAACCTGGGAGACATAGTGACAGCAACAGTTCTGGAGTACTTCCAGAAGCCAGATACCATGATGGTTGGGAGTGTGAACTCTCAAGTCTGGGTTCAAATGCACCATCTGCCAATTGGGTAACTCAGGACAAGTTACCCTATGCTACCTTCCAATCAGACAAATAAACCTGGTGCCTCTGGCCAGCAGCCATTCCACAAACATCAACTAAATATCCACTGTGGACCAGCCACTGGCATCAGGGGTGACCTGGCCTTCTGATCCAATTCCCCTCCCCCAGGCAGCCTCCTTCACTTCCTCTCAGCACTCAGCTCTGGCAGCAATGATCCTGTGTGCTGGCTTGTCTGCCCCTGGAAAAGAGGTGAGTTCTGAGCACAGGGCTGACCTGTCTTGTTCATCCGCCATCTTCCCAGTGACTGCTACACCATTACTGGATACATGTGAAAAGAAGGCATGAGCGGGTTGGACAAGGCCCTCGTTACCTTTCAGCCCTTGCATTCTGGTGGAGATTGTAGGGGAAAAAAAAACCACCACCACAAGAAATACAGTGGCACGAATTACAGAGGTGGACAGTGCACAGGAAAAACCGGAGCCCTGGCTCCCACAGATGCAGGGACAGCTCAAGGCTTCCTCTGGCTCCAGCTCCAGGCAGCTCTGAGGAGAAAAAACGATCCCACCCCGCTGGCAGCCTACCCCAGCTGCACAGTCGCCAAGAGAGCATGAGGAAGGCAGAAGGAAAACCGGAGCAGGCGGGTTCACGGCGGTAATCCCGGCACTTCTCAAAGCCGAGGCAGGAGGATCACTTGAGGCCAGGAGTTCAAGATTAGCCTGGACAACACAGCAAGGCCCTGTCTCTATAGAAGAAGAAAAAACTACAGACATCATTTTTTAAAGTTTTTTTTTCAAAAAAAGGAAGGAAAGTTGGGCCAGTCTCATCAGAACTCCTGGGATTCCATTCATTTGTCAGTGCAAAAGACATTTATTAGACAGACGCCTAGTATGTGCTGGGTATATAGCAGCGAACTGGCAAGATCCTGTCCTCATGGAGCTTCCCCTTAACTGCGGAAACAGAGCGATTCCGGGTGGCAAGAAGTGCCATGCTGGCCACGGCAGCGTGATGTTCTGGGGATGACAGCAGGTGTCCACGACAGTGGGGTGGACACAGAGGCCTCTCGGAGCATGTGACATCTCGGTTAAGACCTGAAGAGGTCAACTCTGTGACGAGCATGGGAAGAACCTTCCAGGCACAGGGAGCCGCCGGTGCTTCCACAAACTCGCCAGGAAGTCGCGCTGGCCGGCGACAGTGACAAGTGACTGGGACAAGTGCCTCGAGGCAGACGGGGAGCCCCCGTAGGCGCGCGGGGCTGAAGCACAGGCCCTGGACTCGCGCACATGGCGCTCCGGGGGTCCGG